CCTGCTGTAGACCTGTTCAAGCCATACTGCCCAGCAACATCAGACATCTTCTGCCCACTCTCTACCTTGGCTATTATACTCGCAAAACCGATGCAAAACTTAACGAGTGAACACCTGACAGTCCCGTGAATACTATAAAAGAATTGTTTCTGTCAGAAAAATAAAAGGCTGGAATTACAAGAGAGGGTTTCAAAGCTCAGAGGAATACTATTTGAGCAATATATACCAGGTTGAGTAATTGATGTCGACATCTCCTGCGCTCCGAAAAGTTTCGAATTGTTGCCTAAAGACAAGGGAAGACCAATCAATATTCATTATTTTCCGTCGCTTCTTTTTATGTTTGTTCAGTAAAGTGTTCGTTATCCAAACATGTGTTCGTTGTCTGATCATAAAAATCTTTCGTAAGTGTTCGTTATCTGATTTGTTCACTATCCAAACTGTTCATTAACCGATCACCCACCGTATATGATTTTAGTATTAGTAATTAATAATTTGAAACTGATTTCACCTTTTATTGTAATTATACAAACAGTGCATGGAAATTAATTCAAAACTAAAAAATATATTGAACGTAAACTAATTTACTGTTTAAAATAGAATTAAATGACTGACTTCAATATATTTATGTGATGATCTAAAATCAGTTATTACAGAGAATAAATAATGAATATAAGATTAATCATTAATTTATTTTAATTATTGGATATGTATTATAAAGAACTGTATAATATATAATAATAGCTACTACAAATTTCAAGTTAAAGTATGTTGTTATCATCATAAGAAAAATTTGAAGATTATAAAAAAAATATTTTGTTTAATAATCAATTTAAATTATCTGAAAATATTAAACTGTAATTTCACTTTGTATTCTTCTAATTCATTTAATTACATTCAATGTATTTTGACAACGTATTATTATATTTATGATTTTTATTATACTAATATTCTGTTTCAGTGGTTACCCAATATGTATTATAGACCTGCGGAATTTCCAAATTTTTCTAAAGGAACAGGTAAAATACATTTGTATCTATTAATTCTGCTTTTAATTTAACATACACAACCACTACAAAGTATAATCAGTGTAATTAGAATCAAGTTAAAGAAGTAATCCTAAGATATAAAACAAAATTGTCAGCTAAGTAATTTCTTTTCTCAACAGTTTTTAATGTTGAGCAAAGAAACTGATTAAACCAGTAATATAAATAATTAATAAATGGTTAAATAATACAAATTAACCGTTTATCCTAAAATACAGTATCTGTTTTCAAAAGATTTTGCAATTAAATTTTTTGGGTTATACTTTTTGCAATTCAAAAATTCCCACAGATCAATACTGATCTACAGCTAACAATTTGAAAAACCCTGTTCTATTGAATAATGATTTAGATACTGTATTAATGAAGTATTTGTGTAAATTATAAATAGTTAAAAATTACTATTAAAAATAACTTTATAAAAATATATATTTAAAAATTTAACAATCTTTTAAATATATTAAAATAATTTATTTCTAAAAAATAAAAAAAATCTCACTTGTAAACTTACAAACAATAATTTATAAAAAAATTGACTTTATATTTACAATAAATGTATGAAATAGAAAAAAACATTAATCTAGATATACAGTACTTCATATGAATTTATACATCAAACTTCTGCTTCTTCATTCATTTCTGCCNGAGTAAGAAATTTTGGCATGTCTTGTGGATTGATGATGATGTGTTAGGTGTTTAGCTAGTTCCTGGTGCAGCGATGTAAACTTTTTGTACCAGAAATTGTGAATGTTGTCTACACCAGGTGTCTTCCAGTTGTGTGTTCTGTTAACAGTGTAGTGGATGTTGTGTATGTTTATTTCAGCAGAGGGCATAGTTGGTATGTTGTGCAAGTTTTTGTTCTCCTTCTCAATCTAGTCTGCATCAGCATTGTGTGTAACAGCACTGGACCAAAGAAAAAACCAATAAGTTATGAGTTCTTCTTCTGTTGGTGTGCCACTGTGCTGTGTATCAGTGTTTCTTTTGGTACTAATTTGTCTGTAAAAGTTTTTCATTGTTTGCAAATAACTTATTTTGTTGTTTTTATAGTATACATGTTTTGTATTGTTAGCGTCAATGTGCTTTAGCTGTGAGTTTTTGTTTTAGTGTATCAATGTATTCTGTAATGTGTGTATTGTGATGTTCATGTTTTGTGTTTTGATTTTCTTGAAAATGTTTTTAATTATTTCTTTAATTGGAGTGTTTTTAGTGTATTGTGTCAGCCTGCCTAATTGCTGTCTTATGTCATTTATTTGTTTTTCTATTCTTCTCTGCCAGGCAGGCTTGTGATAAAATTGTGTTTTGTATGTATCTATCCAGGATTGTATTTTCAGTCCGTAGTTTGTCACAACTGTGAGTGCCCCAGCATAAACTAAAGTATGAATGTCTGAGAGTGTAGAAATTAAACAAATATAGCGTGGTAGTGAGTGTTTACATAATTTAGTATTTTTTCTACTACCTTAGACATGTTGAGTTTTGGTATTTGTGTGGAATCTGTATCTGTATATTTAGTGAGTGTTTCCTGAAATATAAGTGAGAGCATATTAACTAATTCTATGTCTATGTTATCAGTGATGGATGAGGAAGTGTCTGTTGTTTGTGTGATAAGGTTGTTGTGTATAATTGTTCTTTTTTGATCAACAACCCTTAGTTCAATGACGTGAGGTGAGGATATTGTTGTGTGAATCTATGGTGTAGTTGTTGTCTGTATGCTGTCATGTTTGTTTCAAATTTTATGATGGTGTAGTAAGTATGGATGATAAACTTGTTCATTTGTGATGTCTATTTCATCTGATGGTTTTCTAGCCTTTGTGGTCTGTGGATAAATTGCCACAGGGCTAGGTTGATTCCTCACATCTGTTGAGAGCATTGCAGTAGCCATGCTTGGGCCGGCACTGCTTTCGCCACCAGTAACCAAGGGAGACTGTGGCCTATTTTTCAAACATGAGCCTCTGCCTAACCCACGAACACAGACCTTGTTAACCCAGGCAATGTCTGAGCTGGTATCATATTTAGTCTGGTTACTACCATGATAAATATCTTCACAGAATGTGGGTGTGGTCACTCTTAGCTTCATTTCTCCCCATAGACCTTACTGGCATGGGTGTCCCTACCAGGAGCTTGTGCTCCAGCCAGCATTGCCCTATGAATCAGTAAAATTACTGGGCTCTCCCACCATGACCTGGTGGTGACCAAGGGAGATTATTATTATTATTATGTTTTGTGAGTTATACTCAGTTCACACCGGTGGCTGTGTACTATGCCAGACCAAAGTCAAGGCATAGCAACCAAAACAAAACTAAAATTAAATGTGTGTGTCAGTGTCTGTATTAAGGAATTTCCTAACAATATGGCATGTATTCAATATAGTGGCCTTNTATAGTTGATTTGAATCAACTAGTATTTATGATAGTTATTTTTATTTGATGATGCTTTAATGGAATTTGAATTACCTATAATACCTTTAATAGATAAAAAATATATAATACAAAAATTGGAACAAATTTGTATATGCTAATAAAATATACTGAAAAATACCATAAGTACTTTATTGAAAAGTTAAATCTATTAATCATGATATGCTTAATGTCTTAACTCCATAGTATTGCTAAACTGAAGTGATTAGAATAAATTAAGTTATCCTTGTTTTTAAGAAATGGCAGCATGCCAACTGCTATTATTATGCTATTATGCCAACTGCTATTATGCTATTATAACTGTCCATAATAGCAGTTGCAGACACTGCTATGCTCAGTTTGTATCTGACAATCTATTAGTTTTACAAGTTTCTAAAACTATGAGAAATGACTTCAACTTTACATTTCAAAGATAAAAAGTAAATGTATTATACATACTGTTTATATGAAAGTAATACAAATAAATGAGACATTAGCGAGGTTGCAGCCGAAGTTTTCAACGCGAAAACATGAACATCTGACGTTAACATTTGAAGTAAAGTTATAAATATCTTACGTATATGATAAATGTATACTAGATTTTAAAAGTGACCAAAGAAAAAGCTGATTATTGTTAAATAAAATGATAACATTGTCACAATAGCATGGATGCTATTGATATCCAACCACTTAATATAATCATATTTTTTTCAAAAGTAAATCTGTAAAAGTTCCTCAACTCATTTATGTATGAATACAATAAACATGTGGATTATATTGAAAGATACAGCCAAAACATAAGATTTTACCATATTAGAATAAGAGGGCAGAAATGAGTGTAAAGTACTATATTATTTTTCCAACTTTCCAATGATTATTGACACTACTGTGTGCCGGAAATAGCTGTTCCCTAACGGGTACTTTACGCAGATTCGCGTTAGTGTGCCAGGCCTACAACGTATTATTATATTTATGATTTTTATTATACTAATATTCTGTTTCAGTGGTTACCCAATATGTATTATAGACCTGCGGAATTTCCAAATTTTTCTAAAGGAACAGGTAAAATACATTTGTATCTATTAATTCTGCTTTTAATTTAACATACACAACCACTACAAAGTATAATCAGTGTAATTAGAATCAAGTTAAAGAAGTAATCCTAAGATATAAAACAAAATTGTCAGCTAAGTAATTTCTTTTCTCAACAGTTTTTAATGTTGAGCAAAGAAACTGATTAAACCAGTAATATAAATAATTAATAAATGGTTAAATAATACAAATTAACCGTTTATCCTAAAATACAGTATCTGTTTTCAAAAGATTTTGCAATTAAATTTTTTGGGTTATACTTTTTGCAATTCAAAAATTCCCACAGATCAATACTGATCTACAGCTAACAATTTGAAAAACCCTGTTCTATTGAATAATGATTTAGATACTGTATTAATGAAGTATTTGTGTAAATTATAAATAGTTAAAAATTACTATTAAAAATAACTTTATAAAAATATATATTTAAAAATTTAACAATCTTTTAAATATATTAAAATAATTTATTTCTAAAAAATAAAAAAAATCTCACTTGTAAACTTACAAACAATAATTTATAAAAAAATTGACTTTATATTTACAATAAATGTATGAAATAGAAAAAAACATTAATCTAGATATACAGTACTTCATATGAATTTATACATCAAACTTCTGCTTCTTCATTCATTTCTGCCACTAAAACTTCTCTATTTTCATAAGTCCAGAAGCCATTTAAATCAATCAATACACTGACTACAGTATCACCTTGACCACTAAATAATAAGATTAACATTTAAAAATCTTAAAACAGAAAATTTTATACAAGTAATTCATAAAATTGAAAATTTTAAAAGAAATCCAAAGTTTAGTTTTCATTTAGTTTAATTATTAATTTAAAAATAAATAAATTTTTAAAATGTGTCTTAATACTAAATTTTTAAAATTTCAAATATTCTATTAATACAGTAGAGCGTCGATTATCCGAATCAATTGGGGACTGGGTTGTTCAGAAAATTGATATTTTGGATAACCGATTATGTACGAAAAAATATATTAACCTATCCCATGTTGAAATTTTTCTCCGTTGCATGTCGCTTCACGTTGAATTTTTGTCGATGTTAAGCCTAACAAAGACTATTGTATCGTTAAAAATTATTTTTTTATTTTGTACAAACAAAATAAATATATTGAAAAATATAAAAACAATAAAAAATTATACTTCAGATGTTAATTTAGTATCAAAAACGTAAAATATTTGAGTAGCCCAAGACATAGCCAAAGATTGAAGCGCCACAGCACTGGCGAAAATTTAAATTTGCCGACTGGAATTCTTTCGGATGATTGACTTTCGGAAAATCGACGCTCTACTGTAT